TTCAGTTTTCTTTCGAAAAACGAAGTTATTCAGTGAGACGGATAATATGTTTATCAATTGAGACTCTAAGAGATACATAATTAACATTTTCAAATCATTTTCTTCTTGTTTCTTGAGTTATCTCACTCATTCTTCGCATAAATCAGTCTCAAGATATTTTTTTCACTTTCTTTTATTCTAATTACTTGCTCTAATATCATCGATTAGTGTCATCTTAAAACTTTGATAAAAATGTCTTCTCGATTATATCACATACATCTTATTATCACCACGAGACATCTTTAAAGGTAACTATCAGTTCCTTTTAGGTCCTAAATTTCTTTTTGTCATTTATCACTTTCAAGTGAAGCAAGATAAGATAAACAGCCTATACATCATACAAAAAAAACGATAGACGATGATTTTGCATGGAACTTTGGTGTTCAATCTTGCTTTTTACTTGTTCCTATTGTTTTTATCCCTTAGAAAAGCGCACTATTGATGAAGATAAACTGCACACCTATATTTATTGAATATCAATAGTTCAATACGCATTTGTTTTTTGCTTTGTCTAAACTATCAGCCTAGGCAGAAGAGTAGACATTTGAAATTAAAAATGCAAGTGAGCTCCTTTTCAAGATAGAATGCGCGTCGACATCTATCTATAACGTATTCACACATTTGAGAGATAATCCTAAGAGATTCCCTCTAGGGTTTTCAGAAAATCGCTTTCTAACGGGTAGCGCATGGCACCGAGAAAGCCTTGATTTGGATGGGTTGGATCGGCTTGACGATAGCCTGATTCCATTGTTAGTGTGCAGATTTTGCCTTGTTGACTACCATCGGTTGCTCAATCGATCAGAATGAATGAAGCGATCCATTTACCAAAGAAAATTCCTTTTTTGATGTCGATCTATCTTGTATTATCACTGGCGATTCATTGCAAATGAACTTTGAGAACAGCATCGAAGATTGGCCGTTGTTTCGGATACAAGTATGACAATGTCTGATAAGCAGATTCCATAATAGCTGCATCAACGATAGAGCCTCGAGAAGCATTACGGAGTACGAGAATATCTTTCGATTTCCACATCGGTTTGAATGCTTGATTGAATGAAGTCAGTGATTCATACATTGCACCGTAAATGATGGCAAAGGCTCGCGATATTGCTGTCGAGCCAATTTGATCAGACACCGGAGCTATACTACGATCATAATCATTGGCACAGGCTTGTAGAATGACCATGTTTCAGACAAGAATTAAATCCATTGGTGTTGATTGTAATTCAGCAATCATCGAATCAGTTGGTTCTTCTAAGACTGTTCCACAATTGAAAACAGAACATTTCATCGTCAATACCATAGTTAAGAACAGTATGATCAATTTCATAGGGGAACCCATGTTTGATCGTCTGGTGATGGAGTGAATCAATGTTGCTCGTATTTATATATTTTATATTCAAAATATATCAGCAACTTTTGAAGGTCAGACTTCCTGACACAGAATGATTTGCTATTCATTTGAATACATAATTAAATCACTTTATGACCCGCTTTATAGTCTCAAACTGGACACTTTGATGACAAGTGTTGGTCGATTCCAACCATATAGTGTTGATATTTATAACAAATGCATTGATTTTTGAAATTACTTGACTCAGTCTACTCTTACAGTTAGTTTTCTGTTTCTTCCTTTTTAACAGGTGGATGTTAGAAGATTGAGAACATTTTCAACTCGAACATGATCTAATCGAATTGTGCAAAGTTTGATTACGAAAAAGTCTAAACATTTCAGGACTTGACGATTCAAGCGAACTGATCACAGAAATGGGCATAATTGAACTATGGATAATTTTTCTATTGAAACAATCTATTTGACGATCAAGAAATATTATTCTACAAATGCAACAATCGTCCAGGTCCTGAAATGGACAGCGTAAGGATGTTTTCGTATTGCACTGTGTGGTACGTGGTGCTGTCATAAATATTTCTTCCTCTATTGGACGGTAAAGATGGGACTCGGTTCGCGTTTTTTCATACCAAATCGAATCGAAATAAAAAAAACCACTCAAACACAATGGAGACTTTTCTGAACCTACTTAATATATTAGAACTAGCTCTTATAATGACATTGAAAATAGTAAAAAGAGATAAAAACAACGATATGAAAACTGCTTTTCTTCCTCAGCACCTCTACTATTGATATTTTTCCATTTTATTTTGCAACATATTTTATGCTCTTGTATCGATGTATGTGAAAATAGAGAGTCAAACCTTTGTTCATTTATTAATGCTTGGGCTTGATTAGACGAATTTCAAACCATCTAAAGAAAGAATCACGTATAGAGCTATCAAAAAATATCTGAGAAACAATTTCATTTCTTTTATTCTATTCATATCTCAAAAGGTAAATAAGCTAGAATACTTTGGTGTTTGCCACATGATAGTTCATGGATTCTAGTATACATGTACAAAAGCTCAAGACAAACTACTAGTTTTTTAGGTTTTTATGGCGGAATAAATCATACCATGCCTTTTTCTTCATTGTTCCAAAATTACCTAATCAGTCATTTCCAGGATTAACTACCCTTTCATTTTAAACTAAAATTTACTTGTGACACAAAATTCGCAGGATATCAGTTTGAATGTAGACGTGGGTATTGAAATGCAGTAACACAAGATCTCCACCAACCTACACACCAATACCTTTCAATGACGTATCTCCAGTAATACTTTAAATATTAGAATGAAGGCCCACAGAGAAAACTTGAAAATACTATCGAGCTATTTTTGATCCTTGTTTGGTGAATTTATTTGTTAAACATCATGCTATACAGCTGAAAATTTTACCAACGTCGTGGCTCACTAGCTCCAACATGTTTTGAAAGTTTCATGAAATTTGGCTGTTCCTAGCCTGAGATCGATTTTTGAGGGAGGAGACCTTAAATTAAGTTTTTGATTCTAATTCTTTTATATTAACATTTTCGTATTACTAATGCTGAGTAGACACCCCTCACTTTTTTTTCTTGTTTTCGCTTTCTCATGTACGTGAAAAGAAAATTATTCCCGTTCTCCCAGGACTCCACTGTCAATACTTTTTTCATTTGAGAGACCCTACATAAATACAGAACTAATACGATTTTGTTTTATTTGAGAAGCTCGACAACTAGAAGTAAGTGACATATTATCAACGCACAGCTTTAATTTGTATTGGGTTTTGTTAGAAGAATACTTGAACATGATCTATCTTTTATTGCACATATTTTAATTATCGTGATATTTCTCGAGCATTGGTCAGCATAAATAAATAGTTTTGTTGTAACTTTGTGTACCCGAATTCAGTTCTGCAGATATTTACATAGATATAATGCCATTTTTTCTCTGGGCGAAAAAAAAACTTTTCTTCTTAGAACGGATAAATTTATTCATGAGGTATACATACATATAGTCGTTGGAAACTATCATATTAATGTACCTTAGTAGACGATGACGTCGTGCACACTCATTCGATCGCGTTTCTATATTCTAAGTATCTCAGCGAGTGGATGTGGGCCTTTTGTAAATTCATATTCACATCAACCTCCACACTCACACCCATCCCTGATTTCTCGACCAACGACATAAGTGCCTCTGCAGCTACAGCCACACTCTACCACTCTTCACACCTACACATTCACCCCGCACCCTCGATCCACACCCTATGTTTGACGTCAAGTAACCTATCCATTGACGCTAACAAACTGTTTATTTATATTTCTAGATTTTAAAGTTCAACGTGCGCAATTTAAGCAGAATCAAAGAATGAGAATTAGTGGTATTTCAACAATATGCTTGCTACTTATAATAATAGAAATGTCACAGTGTGCAGCTGTTAATGAACCTATTGAAAACCAAGTCATTGACAACAAAGAGTTGGAATTCGGATTAAAACAAATTATGGAATTGGCACAAAATGATGGAAAAACACTCGGAAGACATAAACGAGGACGGTGTTGCAACTTTTTAAGTACCAGATGCTGCTGTAGAATCGCTGGAACTGAGTGTCATCAATATGGCATTATTCATGGCAAAAATAAACCGTGTCAGTATCCTTATTTTTCGGAAACAGATATTGACGACAAAGACTGCGACGGATGTACAAGAGGTTGGAAGTGCTAAAGGCTATTCAGACATAGCACGACAAAAGACAATTAATTGTGCAAAATCTTATTAAATCTTAATCTCTAGATTTATTGAAAAGTGCTTTGAACTAAAATGTCTTTATGAATAGGTTCCCTCGCATGTGTTTAGTGACTTTTTGAGATGAACTCGTCTAACAATGTCGGATAAGGCTCTGCCAAAGGTTGTTAGAGTCCAAGCAACCACAATAGTGTCCAACTTGAAAGTTGAATTCAAGTATTCAACTATCAGTTCAACTATTGAAGCATTCAAGTTTTCTATTAGTCAATCTCTGAAATGTCACCCGAATCACCTAACATCGACAGGTGTTGTCTGAAATGCTACTAGCATCAACTAACATGTTACAGGGTTCACTAGAATGCTGTCAGTATTACGTAAGATGGTACAAGCAGTACCTACTATTCGTCAGGCATCCTATAGGATGCTACAGATTTTGGTTGAGATGCGTCAGACATTATCTGGGATGCTACAAGAAGTATGTGAGAACTTTGAGTCATTGTGCAGCAGGAAGTAGGAATAACGGTGTACACAGAAATGTGAATAGATCGCGGCTTTTCAGAGGAAGCTTCGCGCCCTTACGTCGTGATACTGAAATAAAAAGTGTGTTAGGTGGGGAAAAGCGCTTCCCACTGAATATCCGCAGAACATTGAGAAGTTGAAATTTGAATATTTGAACTAATAGTGATATGCTTTAATTCAAGTTTCAAGTCTTACATATATGGAAACATGATGCATATGTTAGAAGAGTATTGTCAGTCTTCTATATACAATTTCACGTTATTTGTCTTTTTCGCGGACAATAGTCATAGAAAAGCAGAAAATAGTTCTCCATTAGTTGTTTGTCAACAGGAGCTCTTATCAATGGGAAATTTGAGTACACGATGATTATAATGATCAGCCACGTAAAGATTGCCATCGAGATCAAATGATACATCAGTCGGTAAATTAAATTGATCTAAGTTAGAACCTTGTCCACGACCACCGGCAATGACACTACCGGATTTGACTCCACGTAACCATCGTATGATTCGATGATTATAACTATCAGCTATATAGAGAGTTTCAAATTCATCGACAAATACACTTTCTGGCCCTTGCAGCTGATTCATACCACCACCACCACCAGATCCATCAGCAACAACAGATATTTGAGTTGCTCCATACTCTAATTTTACCACTCGATGATTATCTCGATCAGTTACATAGAGAGATTGATTTCTATCAAGGAAAATTAGATATGGACGATTCAGTTTGGATATAATTACTTGTCCAACAGTCTCATTTATCGGTAGCTTAATCACTTCACCTTTCGCTCTATCGGATATATAAAGAGATCCTTCATCATCTTGTGCCATACCGTGGGCATAAATATTACTTATAATTGTATCTCCAGATGAATTACCACGAAACCAACGTTGAACACGATTATTTTCAGCATCACCAATGTAAAGTGTTCCATTTTGGTTTAGAACAAAACCACGTGGACCATGTAATTGATTAGGAGCCCCTCCTCTACCATTTCCACCGGCAACTACTTGTCCACTCGATTCACCAGCATTCCATTTTATAATACGATTATTAACATTATCCGAGACATAAATTGTTTGATTTTCATCAACAATGATGGCAGCAGGGTGATCCAATTGGTTACGATTCGATCCTGCACCATTACCACCAGCCACAACTTGACCTACTCGTTCCCATGTAGCTGTTTCACAAATGCCATCACCAGGTCTTGGCGGTGAAGATGTAGCTAAATAAGTCAACAGAATGAAGATACAATTGATTTATTCGGCTAAACAAGTTGGACAAAATCAAATGATCTTGTTTTCGAGTCTGAATTTCACTAGTTTCTACGAATGTAAAAGTAAAAACTGATAAAAGTATACACAAAGTATTTAATCACGATGTGTTGTTAACTTCTAATGAATAATCCATCTAACTTTTATTCTTATCTCATATTGACCTTCAAATTGAGGAAAGAAGCATCCTTTCTGAACAAGACATTATCGAGAATCTTACTAGAACGAGTAGTTGTAGTTAACGATATCATTGTTGTGACTATCTCTGTAGTGATTGATAATGTCATCGGATCTGTTATCGGTGTTGTCGATATCGTTATTGCTACTGGCGATGACGTAGTTTTTATAATAGATGTGGTTGGTACTGATGTTGTCGATATAATGACTGTGTCTGTAGTGGCTGCTAATGTTTCAGATGTTTCCGATGCTACTATTGATGCTTTCGGTGGTGTAGTGGTTTCCGTTGTTGACGATACTGCCGTTGTGTTCGTTGTGGCTGCTAATGTTTCGATGGTTACTGTTGATATTGTGGTTAACATCGATGTTGGCACTAGTGTCGTTGATGTTCTCGTGTTACTAGTTGTTACCATTGTCGTTCTATTCGATATTGTAATTATTGTTGAGGCTAGTGTTGATGTAGTTGAGTTTACAGGTATCACTATTGTCGGTCTAACTGTGGTTTCTATCGCTGTTGATGTTACTATATGCAGGTTTCGTTCAAGAATCATGTGTTCTTATTGACAAAACAAAATGAAACAGTTGATCTAATTAGATAGTTGAGAAATTCGAACATCTACAATTGTTGTCGTAGTATAATTCGTTAATGTATGATTTACTACGGATGTTTTTACTGGATTTCGTTTGACAGTAAATATGACAATACATGCGATAACAGCAGATAAAATAAACATACTCATGACAATTATTACTGTAGAACGAACAGGATTATGTCTGACGGTTCTCAGAAGTCTTGAAGGACCACTTGTTTTAACATGTACTGTAGATTTTTTTGTAGTTCGAGAGGATTTTTGTTGAAGAGCTCGCATACGAACTGGTTTATTACCATGGTGATGATGCGATGTCTTCTTGTAAGACTCTCTTGAACGATGCTTAGTAGACCTTTGTCCTACGTTTTTTTAATAAGAAATACACATCCTTAAAATGGATTACAAACACACAATTAGTCGAACATGATTAAAAAAAGTTGATAAAGATGTCTTTTGAAATATTACGAACAGAAAGGTGATATTCCCATTAGATATCAATTAGTACTAAGGTTTCAATTCAAAAGAGACTATCGTACACAAATATCGCTACGTACAACTATAAGAAAACATTATTTTGTATTCTACTGAAATGATTTACAACAATGATGCTACTTGTTTTAAATATATTCTTGATTTATGCAAATATCACATTCTCGATAGTTCTTCATTATCTGTTTGTCAGAATTATTCTTAACAAACATGATACCTCATCTGCTGAACTTTTATTCTGGCCAATACAGCTGAGTCCTGCATGTGTTTTACTTTTACCTTTCATCTTACGAAAATTTTGTCAACGATGACTGTAATGTGTTGCGTTTACTTTTGTTCCTAAATCTTATCTATGCATTTTTATATCTGTAATCATATTCAAGTGCTCCTTTTTTTTTATTCTATGTGACAGAGAGATGATGATAAGACTCGTTTGCCTAATCACATATTGATTTTTACCTCGAATTAACTCGATAATATCAAATACAATGCTTAAGAACATGTTTGCTTGCATCAGATAACAGTGCATATGAATCATTTGACTTAAAAAAAAATTCGAAAAGATCAAGTATGGAATAAAAGAACGCGTCATCATCAAAGACAAAAAGAAATGAATATCATATATTCTCTTATCTCCTTTACAGGATTTCTTTTTCTTCTTTTCAAACTGAGATTATTTTTTATTGATGGACTTAATTTTGATTGGCAACCTCGGGTTATGCTTCTATTTTATATGATGAAATTGAACATATAAAAGAGAAAAGTTCTGGCCGATAAAATGTTTTTCTTCTGATTAAGTATTAACTTCTAACCAATTGAATATAGATCATGTTAGATAGAAGAGCATCATCGAATAGAGCGTATGAAGATGGGTCTAGGAGTCGTTGAAGATAGAAGCTATCGCCACAGTCACAGTCACACCAAACCCGCACACCCAAACTCAAGTTAGTGCTTGTAACTACTGTTTGAATAACTAGAGAACAAATCGTGATAGAGACTCCTGGTGGAAGTGAATGAAACAGATATGACCTACACCGACTTTTCAAATCTTCTCAAGTACAGCAGCCAGCCGAACTGCACATGATTTGTAACATAATGTTGTTGTATTTTTCATGAAAAACGTTTACTGCATTTTTATCAACTAAAATTAAAACACATAAGATGTACTGTACTCATCGAAATTTACATTGTCTACGACTCATTCAAAGTTATTTGGATCTTCTGCTCTTTTTCGTGCTCGATCGTATCCACTTTAGAAAAGAATCAAACAGTGCCATGGAGTACCTTATAAGAGATATTGACATTTAATACTTTTTTTGTATCCTCCATAGATTTCAGCAAAAGCAAAACCAAAGAGATGAAAGAATAAAACACAGCGGCTGTTTATTAAAAAAAAGAGTGCTTTGCGTTCTTTTTCATGAAATGCTTGCTCGGCGGACGATAATATGGCTGTAGATGCATTACTCAAGTAAAAAGAAAGAAAGAAAGAAAATAAAAAGAATAAGTTACTTTTTTTCCTCCATTCGTCTTCATAGTATCATCATGTGTCTCCTTCTTGGTTTTGTTATTGTCCTTTATGCCTCCTATTGTTTATATCGACATTTTTTTCCGACACCAAACATCAATTCCAATGGAAAATATGTTCTTATTAGTGGTTGTGATACTGGATTCGGTCATGAATTAGCTGTTGAACTTGATAAACAAGATTTCAACGTTCTTGCTGGTGTCTTGCTTCCCGATAATGTAATTTCTCTTAAAAACAAACTTTCATCAAAAGCTACTGTATTTTGTCTTGATATTACCAAACAAGAAGACATTGATGCTGCATTTGAATTAGTCAGCAAGAAAACGAAAATTCTTCATGCACTTGTGAACAATGCTGGCATTTCTATTTCGGGTTATATTGATTGGACATCCATGGAAGCTATGCGTAAAATAATGGATGTGAATTATTTTGGACATGTTGCAATGACGAAAAAATTCTTACCGTTACTTATTGCAAAACGTGATTCACGTGTTGTTAATATTTGTTCTGCGGCCGGCTATCTTGCAATAGCAAGTGTGTCAGCCTATAGCGCATCGAAATATGCTCTTGAATCGTTTTCTGATTGTCTTCGTCGTGAAATGATGCCATGGGGTTTACATGTTAGTATTATTGAACCAGCATTTATGAGAACAGGTATTAATCAAGGAGGTCCTAAATCATTTTCAGAATTTTGGAATATGCTTTCAAGTGATGTTCAAGAGCGATGGGGAGAAGATTTTTTGAAAGCCAGATTTAGTGCAGTAAAAGCCAATGCTTTCTTGAAATATGCGGAAGATCCTATGAAAGTCGTGCGCGTTCTTCAGCATGCTGTTATGAATACGACACCTTGTATTCGTTATCGGCCTGGTTGGCAATCAAGTCTTATCTTTTTCCCACTTTCTACATTACCCGCTTGGATTGTTGATTGGCTTTTGGCTAGATTATTTAAATCAACTCATCTTCCTGCACATGTTAACAAACAACACAAAGATTAAAACTGATTTAGTCAATGGATTGAAAGACAATTTTCAATTATCAATAAAAATAATACACATTGTTTTTAACTTAATAAATGGATATTTAGACTAAAAAAAAACATGGATTTATTTAGAGAACACATTTTGATTTTCATTAATATACATATATTCAACATCAGTAAGAAGTGGAAATGATCTGGAGCATAGATGCATAGACGATTATTCCCAAATTTGTTCGAGTGAATAGCAATATCTATTGTTCAAACATGCAAACTCGTAACAGGCATTTTCAATTATAGTTTTTTCGATATTTCATGGAGAAATTTCAAAGTCATTGTTGACATGAAGAGTTCTCTTGATGATGTGCGTGTATGTGTGACTTTGGATTTACATTTATGTGCCACTTTGGAAGGAAAAAATACATCCACACTCACACACTCATCCCTTTGCGGGAATTCAACAATTATTTTAGAATTTCTCAGTACAAGTTAGGGATTAGCAGGATTTTCATCATTAATGCATAGTGGCTTGTCCGTGTAATGCATAACCTCAGAGACCGGTGTTTTGAAGTGATCATTTTAAAAACTCATTATCGCCATCGTGTAGAGCATAGTCGAAAATACATGGGAACATATTTTGTTTAGTTAATAAGGACTTTCAAGTGCATCTGATAATTGATAATAGAGAGACCACTAATATAAAAGATAATTTCTGTATTTAGACCATTAGTTCACCTAACCCATATATTGAAACAGCTTGATATACACAAAGTTGACTAAGGGTATGGGGTGTGGGTGTGCGTAGAAAGAGAAGACTAACACCGACATCCACACTCACCTAATGGAAGAGAAAATAGAACAGACATAGTATAATTGGTCGATGGCACAGAAAAAGCATAAATTTTGAGTTGTAGCTGGAAGAATTATCATTTCTCTACTGTTGATATAATTAGTTTTTACTAATTAAAATCTAATAGTTTTCTATCTTAATCTAAAGAAAGACTTTTAAGACACTTAATATCCATCTTTTACACTTGACTGACATATCTGATGGTTATTATAATCTTCTACAATCTAAAACAACTATATGTATTACTGCAACTTTAAAGTTCCACGATTTTTCCACCGAACGATTTAGAGTTATGGGTATGAATGTGGATGAATATGGGTAGGTCTGACTGCACATGCTACCTTCTTTCAACTAAAACCCACACCTACACCCTTTTATTGTAGATTATAAAGGCTAAATCAGTCTCGAATTATATTAATGCAACTCACATAGTTGTTTACAATAAAAAAAATTTCGTGGTTAATTTTAATTTGATTCATTTATTATAGGCAACAAATAAATTTGACATATAATTAAAGTGTTGATATAATATCATTTTGAACATAAATAATTAGATATTGCTAAATTCAAACGATTAAAAGATTTATTTTAAATAATTTGAATATCTTTTTTATATGGTGAAAAATTACCAATTAAAGACAACAAAAAAAAACACTCTACAAAAGAGAAACATTTTAAAGAATTATTTTTTAAAATCTCAACAAATCTTTTTAATTTTAACGTTAACACGATCCAAATCTAGTATTTTTATATAGACAACAAATAATACAAGTCTTTTATTGAATTATATTCATCTATAGCATCAATATTTTTACGGAAAATGAAGATGTATGAGAGAGACATGAATGAATGCTATATTTAATTACCTAGGTTATTTATATTTTACTATTACATTTAACTGGATAGGTAGAGTTGCCACCATCTTCGATGTAAATATTCATTACACAACTCCACCACTCCATTGGTATCTACTTCATACAGAACACAAGCTTATATAGAAGAGAGGTAATGGTGAAGGAACGAGAATGAGAAGAAAGAAAAGATTGAATAGCGGAAAAGCTCAGCAGACAGCTATGATCGGTCAAAAGGTCAGACCGTCTAACCAATAATGTGACCGAACTCTCTTATCATATTGAATCGACTGAAGAGAAAGATAGGGCATGTCCTACTTATTAGCACAGATTATGTTTCCTAAGATGTAGAGTAATGGATGAAATCAAGATACTTCACTATTGCTCACTGAAAACTTATAATTCTCTAAAATTCAACGAATACTTTGTCGACTCACCATTTGTATAAGCAATGATGTGACCTGCTCTTTTACCATTTTGCTTAATAAGGAATTTTGTCAGTCTGATAATATATGATTTTTATATTATTGATATAAAGTGTCTTTTTTTGAAGTTCATAAATATAACACTTCACGATCGAAGTATGCACATCTCATCTAATTCACCATACGAAGATAATCAATCTTATCCGACTGAAAGACCAGTAGGGTTGGTCTTATTTTAATAGATGAAATTCTTTTGTCAAGTTAAAAAACAGATTTCAGATACAGTGGTATAGCAGAAAAAATTTTATAATTATGTTTTATTTTTATTTTTATATAGACTCTTTGAAAAACATATAATCACTGCTATGCTCTAGACTTATTTATTCAATCGTATGGTACACGTAGTTACCTCATGAATGTATAAAAAACACGCCACAATTCACATCTAGGTTGAATCGAATCTTTATATTCTTTAAAAGTTCGATCAGATCTTATTTTAAAACATGACATTAAGTACGATTGCATATAGTTTTGCTACTTAATCGAGCTTCAGCTTCATTTGTTATATATTCTACATTGTTATATAATGTTTTTCTTAATAAAGAAAAGTAACGGTCGCTAGTATTTTCATAGCGATTAAATTGTCTTAAAGAAAAAACACCGAGTCGAAAATCGCCATCACATATGCAGTAGACAACAAATATTTTTACGTATTCTTGAAGAATTTCTGAGTGCAAGTAACTGTTATATTCTGATGACTTAAGTTTCTTATTCTTTGCTAGAATATGTAAATTTTCTGAATAAAACTATTTTTATTGACCGCTAACGGGTCTGAAACTTTCCTATGGATCGTCAAGATCGTCTGAGAAACGTATAGACTACACTACTAGTAAAAAAAATAATCTCTAAAAAGTATCTTGCATGTTCGAACCGAGTTGAGGATTTATACTAAAGATTTCTATAAAATTTTGAATTACAATTCGAATTCTGATGCCAAAAACGTTTTCATCAATCAGCTCCAGACCCAATATACATTCAATAGATCATTTCTAGACCCAAAAATTTTGTATTCCATAAATTCTATTCTCAATATACACACATATTAAGTGGAAAATTAGAAAGATATAGATGTATAAAAATGATCAATTGATGATTGTGTTAAATTAGAGCTAAGCTTTTTTTTTTCTTTTATGTTGTTCAAGATGTTGAACAAAGCAGAAGTCAATGGGGAAATTTTACTGGTTTTGAAACCAAAAAAGTTCGTTGTGTATTTATCCGGAAGGTTTGTAATGATCGACGCCAACAGAAAAAGAAAGAATTTTATTTAAAATAGGTTTATTTAATTCTCATGATTCAATTATCGATTACATTTGGTCTTATTACCGTATGTCATTTTATGTATGTTGTTTTTTGTCTAATGAAAGATATTAAAAGTGAATATATGACATAAATATATTGTGGGTCATCAATTCATGAATATGTGCGAAGTTCAGAAGGTAAATGGCTATATTTAACATCATACTTTGTTTTTTTTGGTTACTTATTTTATCTTGGTTGGTTCGAAAAGTGCAGCACGAAAATTTCCACTTAATTTTATTTTACTCTCTATTATGGTAAAAGAGAATAATAAAATATAAATTATTTCGAAAATAAGTTTTTTAAATTTTAGACATTATCAATGAGTTATTTGGTATGATTTGATTGAAATATAATTATTTACTCATTAAATTTGTTTTCTATGAAAACTTTAGCTCGGTATGATTTCAACATATGATAAAATTGAATCAGTCTTAAGTGCTGTTGGTATAACAACATTTGTTTATTTGGAAGTTACATTATTTTCATTTCAAACAAAATATGATTTTACATCATGTTTTGGAGTTTTATTTGTTATTATATTGGTAGTTTTAGCTTTCACATTTATTTGTATTTTTACTTTTTCAAAAGTAAGTATTTGAATGAAATTAAATATTAATATTATATTTTCTGTAAATATTAATTTTTTTAAGATAATGTTTACAATTTATGCTGAATTAGGAGCTATGGCTTTTTCTATTGTAAATATCAACAATTAAGAAATTGAAAGAAATTATTTTCTATGTTTAGTTCTTGGCTGTTGATACACAATTAATTATGGGTGGAAAGCAAGATGAACTAAGTGCTGAAGATTATATTTTTGCGTCACTTATGCTTTATCTCGATATTGCTCAAATATTTATGTTGATTCTTTCATTGTTCGGCGTTCGAAAATGAAATGTTCTTTTGCACATCTTTTAGACTAATTATGTTTACTAACGATCATTTTTTCTAATGAACATTAAATTTTTGATTTTCTAAAATTTCAGCTAAAAACATTTTAACATATATATTTAATTATGTTTGTGAAGAAAAATAAATGTACAGTCATAAATAAAATCTAGAAAAATAGGATTTATGTGTATCTAAGATTTTTTCATAAGTAAAACTTTATAAAGCTTGATTGTAAACATTAATTTGAGTTCTATTGCTTTCCTTAGACTAAGAGAGAGAAAGTCAATTATAAGAAAACATATTTTACGGCGTTCAATCCCTTGTTGAAAAGATTGACTGTTTGTAGTCTTTCTGATGACACTTGTCTCACAAAAGACAAAAAATGTTACATAAGTGCTAACATTATGTTTGTATGCAATGAATCTTATCAGTCTTCAATGGATCTGTTAGCAATGATATCTGTAACATTACTACTTGGATATTCATCCCTCTTTCTTTTTTCTTTTTTATCTTCTTCGTTTTTATGTAGAATATACGTTTTTTAGATCTTTATGGTTACGTACAAATATCAAGAATCAAACTTATATGAGAGAGCCATCAGTATAATATTTCGTTAGTCATGTTTTTTTTTTCTAATCCATTGACTGAAGCAGACTATTCTTTGGTAGTTATATAGAATAATGAAGTTTAAAAATAATTGCGACTGCATATATATATATTAGTTCGATTAGTTCCTAACCAGAACTATATATCTGACCAGAATCACTGGAAAAATCTCTGAAAATTTGTTCTTCTCACCAAAAACAATGTTAAGGCCTCATCACGTCAATCTAAAATTGATTTCGTCACCTCTTCATCGTAAACAAATTAAAAACATAAGTGAGAATATTTTCTGAGTTTGCTTGTTCTCACATGCAAACTTTTGTTCACTCTTGGAGAAAGTCAGGTATTTAGCAAAAATAAAACAATTATAAATATTGGATGTTGCCTTATGAATTTCTACTCATGAAGTAGCCGATTGTATGGTGTATGCTGTACAAAAGCATAACAGGATGTTATTAATTCACGAAAGTAATATCGTGCTCATACATAAATTGAACGTGTACTTGCATGAGAAGTTTGATTATATGAATAACTAGATTACTTTCAAAATGACATTTACCATGTATGCGAATTCCTGTAGGACAAATTTTTGAATATGTTTTGAAAAACCTCTCACAAACAAAAACATCAAGATGTAAAGATAAGCATTAAGACGATTTACAAAAGGAATGAATACTAAAGGAATTGAATCAATGTTCTCACGATGACTTTCAGATGATAACGATTGGAACTCTAAAATATACAACGACAAAAAGCTATTCGAAAAATGTACAGCCTATTTTCATCAAAATTCAGCATTAATATCGATCTTTCTGATTGAATTCTTCAAATCACAGATGATTGTTCCATCATGTACTGCATGAAGAGTACAAATCCGCATTGAATTCCAATAATCAATTGAATCGATACCTCTCTTGTTCTACTTGTGATATTAGTAGTTGTTGTTGTTTTTGTTGTCGCAGTAGTGATTGTTGTTGTGGTGGTGGTGGTGGTAGTGATGGTTGGCATCAAAATTCCCCTGGCCGCCAACAAAAGTCGCACTTCGATGGCCGTGATCACGTTGTTACACATGGGCATGTTGCATGTGTATGTTAATGATGTTTCATTTTCCGTTTCGGACATCGACTTGGTTTCTATGATAACACCGTAAGGATTGGGAATGGAACTTTCAGGAACACATTTTCGCACTGAGTTCGAACCATCTCTGTTGATAAATTGACAGAAACCACGAGGGCAGGAGACTGGTTTATTTTGATTGTCAGCACATTGCAGGTTAGAAGAATCTGCAACAGGGTTATACAAACGTGTGACCAGATTAGCCCAGAGATTTTCATAGTTGAGATTTCGTGCTAAAGCAAAAGAGTATCTAATTTATAAATAATTCAATAAAAAGAATACTTGATCTTTAATATGTTTCACAAAAATCCGCTAGAAACAATGAAGACTGTACATTTTTTTCCTGAGACATTTGTTCGAGTTCAAATTATTCCAATTTTTTTGCTTACAAGTTGTATACAGACGAAAGACTCAACTATATTGCTGGTGTGTCCATTATTGCTCTCTTCTTCTTGTGACATATACCGTGTCATTATAAGTTATTTATGGGGAACAAATATTGAGAATTCTTTTCTTCATGCTCTCTCCCTCTATGATCAGGTCTTTAAATGTCATCAATTTGCATAGCTTACCATTTGAGTAAACATTGCCGAGAACATCAGTTCTGCAAGAATCGTCGTTGAAACATATCATTCGATAGATTCGTTCCACTTTACTTTCAGTTAACCAGATCATCATAGTGTTCGTCAGAATACGTGGTGTGTTCGACAGTATCAATTGCTCTCTACCATTGGCGTCAAATTGTACAGAAGCTTCCTTCTTTGCATAATGAACATTCAGTGTAAACAAACAACTTGAACTTCCCACATCTACTGGAACACATTCTGGTCGAGACGCATTGATAATCTCTGACGAAGTCATATTCAGTATTTGATTACAACGAGGACACTCAAGAGCGAATGCTAGAAAAGTGAAATGGAAAGTAATGAGACATTCCAGTACTAAAAACATCTCTCAACTTTCAATGCTAACAAGAGTGTGATCGAAGAGCTTTTAACAGAAACTAGATATGTTCACTCTTTTTTTCTTTAACAGGAAATGTGTGCAAACATTTACTGAATCTATATATGCAGATAGGCATGCATTTGCATATGTGATATTGACTTGTTAATTTTTTTTTCGTTTGATAACAACAACAAGACGTAAAAATAATGACGGATGATGTGAACCGTGATAATATTGATAAATTTTCTATAAACTTGTTTTAACAACAGCAAATATTCTTAATAAAAAAAAAATGAGAGAATTCACTTATGCAAAAAAAAACTGCACAACTAAATTCTGTAATGACTAACTTGGTGTTCAAGAGATACTAACATTGTAGATAAAAACAGAACCAGTGAAGAAAAATCATTTCATCGTATACTAAAAATACATTGTTTCACTAATTTCAAACAGCCTATATGTGTACTACATAAAGAATGAAAAAAAAATCACTTGATGTTTACATAATATTGTCATTATTGAATAGTGCTAAAATGTAATTGCACCATGTCAGTATATCTTGAACATAAACTCTGTCATATTTTTATCACGGACATTTGCTGCTGCTAAAATGACGATCTACATTATCTGTAATTATCATTACGCCTTGTTGTTGTTGTTATCAAGTGAAACAAAATTTATCAAGTCAATGTCACGTATGCAAATACCTGCCTATCTGCACATATAGATTCAGTAAATGTTTGCAGACATTTCCCATTAAAGAAAAAAAATAGTGAACATATTTAGTTTCTCTTAAAATCCCTTCGATCACACTCTTGTTAGCATTCAAAGTTGAGATATCTCATTACTTTCCATCTCACCTTCCTAGCATTAGCTCTTGAGTGTCCTCACTTTAATCAAACAGTGAGTATGAGTTCGTCAGAGATTATTAATGCATCTGGACCAAGATGTGAGTGCTGTTCTATTCTTCAACAACACAACCACATCCATACCCAACACTGTCGAATAACTGATCTAGAGTAGTGAAATGCGACAGTCATTTCCTGTTACCCATGACATGCTTTCATATGTATATAATATTTCTTCTTTATGCAAAATCGTCTTAGTATTAGTTAATTTTATATTAAAAAATGCAAGATTGTCTGTTATTCATTGCTACTTTTTTCTAAGAATGTGCTGTTAGATCAAACAATCGTTTCTTTCTAGTTTATATCGATAAAAAATATAATTAAATATTTAAGTTTTTGAATAAATGCACTTTAACTCGTGTTTTTTTTATTTCGAACTTCAATATAAGCATAAAGACAACATTTAATATAATCGATCATTTTCATTGTAAATAGATGTTGTCAACTATTCATTTAATTGTGAAATGACGAAATAATTTCTCATGATTAATTTATTTCTTCTGATTTTTGAATGATTTCATTATCTGCTGTTGGACTATGAATACACAATGAACGAAAATATTGATTACAATCATTGCTATTTTTCTTTCAAATATCTTTGACAAATAATTCAATATTCATATTATTTATGAAACATACTTTAAGATATGTCATATGAGAGCAAAGTCTAATAAGAAAATCAACTTCTTCAATTATATCTTCAATAGATAAACATCTGAAATGTGAATACGTCAAAGAAATAATTTTAACTGTATCAAGTGCAGATGATTTATGTATTATTTCAATGAATATATCAGAATAGATGCTTTTTTTATTCATCACGAGGACGATCCACAAGTATAAGTCAAGTAGACTTTGAGAGTTCAATGAAGAAATTGATATCATACTTTCTTTGTTAAAAAAAAGAACAAAAATATGTATATTTACATATATATTATAAGAGGTTCTTTTCAATGTACTTGAATGAACGAATCGTGTAAACATAATCGAAAGAATCCATTTTAACTTCAAATATTTATTGTTGTTCAGTTCAAAACGATGAATTAAATTGATGTGAAGATCCAAAATTTGTTAAAGATCCAAGTTCAGAATCATCAATTTATTAATGATGTTCTAAATAATATTCTTCTAATTCAAACAAATAATCTGAAATTAATTTTTTCCATCAATCATCATCAAAATAATCTTTATCTTCAGAAAAATCATCATACGTAATGGATGGATGTGGGTATGAGTTGAGTGTCAATGATGATCTTCTTTCCTTCACACAAACATGCCCATACCCACAGCCACACTTACACTCTACATAGAGATGATCATCAAAATCATAAGCATGTATCTGTAGATTGAATGCACATTAAACTTCGATTATTTTCTTTATTTGAATTAAAATCTTACAAGGAGTACTTCGCTTGAGAGCAACATTGTAAAAATGTCACTGCCAGACTGTTCATAATTATACTATGTCTCAGTTTTGATCTTGCACATTTACTTTCACGAATAAACCAACTAACACATGGCAAGAAATTGTTTAACATACATGCACATGTACATGTCTTCGATAATAAACGAAAGAAAGAAAGAAAAAGAAGAGCAACAAAAGATAACAGCATAAATAAAAATGAATACAGAGTGATAGTATGGCTATTGTCTTACATGATTCTTATCATCATCGCCAGTTGTAGTCAAGGTCCTACGTTCAGAAAAATGTTGATTACGTTGCTATCCGAATTTAAGACAACAATATCTAGTCGAGTATCCCCGTTGAAGTCAGCAATACCGATCGCATTAGGAGCGTAAGCAGTTGAGAAGAATCTCGTCGGCAAGTAAAACGTTCCATCACATTTACCAATGAGTACACCAACTTTACTACTTCCATAGTTGACATAGCCGACTACAACATCAGGTATACCATCTATATTCATATCAGCAACAGCAATTGAGCGTGGTTGAGGAACACCTGCCAGAAATGTATTTGCTGTTGCAAAACTCCCATTACCCTTTCCCAAAAGGACGCTCATAGTATGATTGTTGAAGTTGGCAACAATAAGATCGATGTAAGAGTCACCGTTGAAGTAGCCAGCAGCGATTGACGCTGGAGCATCTCCAACAGCATAGTTTGTTGCATTTTCAAAAGTTCCATTAACTGTTCCAAGAAGAATACTCACTGTGTCACTGTCAAAGTTAGCAACTGCAAGATCAGCATAGTTGTCACCATTGAATTTGCCAGAAACCATCGCAAATGGATTTGCTCCAACACGGAAACCTTGCCGAACAATGAAACTTCCAGTTTTATTTGCCAAATGTAAAGTCACCGAGTTGTCATCAGTCAGTGCGACAGCAAAATCTAAGTAATTATCACCGTTAAAATCATCAACAACAACAAATCTTTTTCGATAAGAGTCATAATAGTTGTATTGCACGACAAACGTTCCATTACCAAAACCAGAAAATATTTTCACAGATCCATAGTCGGCTGAGACGGATACAAAGTCTAAATTAGTATCGTTATTGAAGTCCCCACCAGCGACTGCGACTGGATGCCAATTAGTATCAAAAACAGTGGTTCCGTTGAACTGTCCAGTACCATCTCCCAAAAACAGTTCACCTCGTTGACCGTGATATTCAGCAAGTATCAAATCTAGCTTATTGTCATTGTTAACGTCACCAATCAATACTGAAATCGGGTACCAGTAAGAAGGAGTTGTAGCACGAAGTGAAAGCGTCGGCGAGCTATGTATAACTGAAAGAAATGACAATCTAGCGAAGATCTATAAAAGGGTCTTCAGTACGAAAGAAAGTGGATAAGGATATATGCAGTATCTGTTTTTAATATGACTTAATTTCACAATTTTTGAGGGATTATTCGAGCCATAGCTATCTCTGAAGAGAAAAATGGACAACTTAAAGACTTCATGAGTTGCATTGAAATCGATGATGATTATCAAAAATTTCATCCTTTTTTGTTCATGTGAGTGCTTCGAAATAATTTACCGTTTGCCAATCAACTTTATATTTCTGTTAATAATCAGCTAGCAGAGTATTGATGCATAATATTTTCTATTATTATTTGTTTTAGCATTATTTGAAGTACGCTGTACATCTAATTCTATTTTAAGGATATTATTTTTACTAGAGTAATATATTTTTTGTTTAAATTAGCCTATCTGATTAGTCATCTTCATCATCTTCATTGTTGCTATTATCTTTATAATGATGGCTTTTTCACCTGACGTCTCTAATCAATGAAAAGTAGTTTTCCAATCATTCAACAATGAATTATTAGATAAATATTGTTGCAACAACTAAATTTCCTATGCTTTCTCAAAATCATGACCTTCTTCGCTTTATTGAAGTTGAAATTCAAAATATGATTCAAGTTACTGAAAGTTACATTAAACAAATTAAACGATTGCATATCTTTCATGATCTTATTAAAATTTTAAAACACAGCTGAATAATAGCATCATCTTAGACGATCAAGTAGAAAGCCGAAGAAACAATTTTCACTGTTATAAAAAAAAAGTCGTTTGCTACTACAATCACTCTTTTGTTATGCATGAAAATAGTTGTCAGAAGGCGTAAAAAATATGCAATCGTCCGACATTTGTTTGAAGAGGCATCTATACGTTGTAATTTTACACAAGTTTTGAGTAACAAAGAGGAACATTATGTTTAGGAAATTTGTTTTATTACAATTCTAGTCTCAAATAAATTATACTACTGCTGATATGGGAACTGTTTACTTAGTATTCTTTATCAAAGATTTAGAGATTGGACTCTCCCTTGCTCTCTTAGTGAGTAATACTAAGAATGATTGAAATTTAACAATCTCGAATTTTACAATATTGTCGAATCGTTTATTCTTTCCTCATCATATCAACACCTTAGTAACAGAAGTTATAATCGATTTATCAGAATGATGTTTTGAATTTAATATTTTATGACATGTCCATTAAGTAACTACTTTACATAATTGAAAATAAGCTCCATCATCAGTTGCTTACTGCAATCAGTCACACTAATTGGTTGATCTCTATCCGAGCACTATAGACAACGTGCTTATCTAATAGGATACCTGCTCTAATGGAGTGAACAGTTGTGGGTGAAATTAGTCAAGATTGTGGTTTCACAAATAGTCTAATCAGAGAGCATACCAAGGACCGATGATCTGAAAGAGAGTGTTCATTTTCTGAATTCTCTATTTGAAAAAATAAACGTACAATGATAGAACCTTATATTCATCTCTTAACATTCTAACAAATCATTTTGAGGTTTAGTCATGTGAGAAAAATTCAGATTAATGTTTCTTATAAAAAAAAGTGTTGAATAATGAAAACGATGCGAAATACAGCACAAGAAGAAAATCTTTATCAACTAATTTATCTGACTGATAATTGTTTAAAATGGTTTATCATGGTTATATACACAAAAAGCTTTTTTGTTGAATTCATAACGTATTATCAATCGGAAATATTGACTGGAATACTAATAAATAAATAAATACGAAGATTTTTAGTTTTGCCTATTTCTTTTTTTACAACTCATTGATACATTGAAGGTAAAGCAGAATCATAACAAACAGACGACACATCACCGTTAATAAATGATCATGAAGGTGACATCTGCATGAAAAATGTTGATAAGAATAGATCGTAATATTCACATGTAGGAATCAGAAGTGAAAAAGCATAAATTAGCTCATGTTGATTGTTTTTATGAAAAAAACGACGGTTTTTACAATTTTCTTTGAATATGAAAATCATAATCATATATTTGTAAAGACTTTTCAAGGCGTCAAAATCGTCTCAATTTTGACTATTAATCTCGATTTATATAAAAGAATTATCGATTAATAGCAATGTAAAAGTGATTTTTCGAATATTCCAATAAACCATGATTAGTCAATAGCATTGCAAGAAACTTCACTAGTAAATCTACACATCAAAATGATCAATAATAATTATTTTTTGAAAAAATAACTGTTTTTTTTTTATTATTGACGGAGAGATGTAGAGGAGAAAATCATCTCTTTGGTCATTCACAAGATATTTGCACGAGTAGATGTTAAACGATGGTTATATACAGGCTGTTCACTATACGTATAGTTATTTCTATTATAATCAGGCTAGAAAACCTCGATTAACCATGACGAACTGCAATTAATCGTGAGTTTTCGTTCAGTTCAAACGATATAGGAGATAAGAGAAATATCATCGCCATATCACATTACAATATTCATCAATGTTTCAAGACGAATTTCGAGAGGAATTAGGCGGTTTAATAAACTCTGTTTATCCATTTTTGTTTCAAATGGGCCTTGGTATGATCGATAATAGAAGAAAAAATGGCAGAGAAGTAGAACTTCTCACGATGTTTTCAGAATCTCTCATAACTAGATTATATCTTCCATTGTTTTTAAATGGAACTGGAAATAAGCTCACAATTTGAATATCTCTGTAGTGAATTTTTTCGAGTTTCAACAGAAAACTGGGTACTAAATTGCTTGTATTTTATCTATCGAATAAGACTTCTCCCTTTCGATGTATAAAAGTCCGTAATTTGACACAGAAAAAAACTTCAAGAATATTCGGAAATGAATTCATCTAAGTTGGTTTTAATCAGCCGCAGTTATTCGGCTGCATAATAAATGGTCGTTTCCATTAACTGAGAAGCTTCATTACAGATCGAATGAGTTCACTCATCTGAATCATTTTTTCAGAAATTGTTCAATAAACAAGTCCGAATGAAAAGAGCAGAGAACGAAGTATGCAATTATGAGGTGCTTTTATCGCTAGTCAAACTAACAGTACGCATACTGCATGAGAGCAAAACGAGAACATTTTCTCTTCGGAAAGTTTTAAACAGAGCTGATATAACTACAATAACATCTTGCCGCGTTTCTGTTCTAGTTCGATATTAGTAATCTTAAAAAACGATCATTAAAAGCAAAAATAATACTTACATGGGTTTCGTGCAGTGACATAGACTGTTTCAGCAGTTTGATCAGCGATGAGTTCACCGTCGCTGAGTCGATCACCAAATAAATAACATGTTTTTTGACTAACTATGAAAGTGATAGTCTGACAATAGTTTGATATGGAACAGGCTTTTAGACATTGCATTCGAGTTTGGCTTGATACTTGTTCACTTGACAAACATGTAGAATAACGCCGAAAGCGCATTTGTGGTACCGCAATCATCTTAAAAGATTGAACGCCAATTTGATTAACTGCCGAACAACTTGTAAATAACGTTATTAGAATAAATGCCAGTTTCAAGTTGGAGTTCATGTTATGCGACAGTAATATTACAAGAAGAAACAATTTTTTCAATCTTCTAAAAGTATACAGCCTTCTTTGTATTTCTTATTAAAGTAATGAGGTGCAATCATTTTTTCTTCTCTTTTCTTTTTTTCTGAGTTTCGACATAAAAAATTAACAGCTTAAATACGAAGTAGTAACAACCGACGACAAAATGTAGAAAAAAAAATTTCCTAAAGAATGACGAACTTCATTGTGAAATTCTTAATTTACAAATCTAAATAATAATAGTCAATATCACATAATAAAATATTTTTGTCTTCTTGTTCACTTGATTAGTCCTTGTGAAACGTGTAGACAATTCAGCAAGAATAAAGAGAAATTATATGCATAATCGCTATTCTTAAAACAATATTGACGACGTGGATCAGTGTCAGAAATATATTTGATAATACTATTTGTCTGAATTGCATATACACTCATCAAATCCATTGGCTAATAGTTACATCGCTCAGAAGAATTTGACAGTCGTAGTCCGTTCATCGCTCAAAGAAAATTTTCGACGTTTTCAAGCTAGATTCTTGATAGACTCAATATAGATGCTGCACGATTTCGCTCCTTTTACCTGAAGAAACGACTATATTCAGCGAGAAACGTATAGCCTCAAAATGACAAAGGTTTGATTGAATAAACTTTAATTAAAAATAGATCTGTTAAGGGTGGGGTGCGAGTGCTGTTCATATCTGCACCCACAGCCACACCCCCAACAGACGACAGTTGTAATCTCCATAAATCAAAAGGGAGCAAAACATGGAGATAAATGTGCCTTTCACTTGCTCGAACCACTCCACGTTGATATTCACGAAAACCTGTACTGTTTGAAATTGATATCATCTATCTAGTGAATATCTTTATGAAAGATACATCGAGATTCTGAAACTTTCACGGCAGATGAAACAGACTTATGTCATATA